GTTGTATTTTTTTTTTTTTTTTTTTTTTTTTTTTTTTTGACGGAGTCTCTCTGTGGCCAGATTGGAGTACAGTGGCAGGATCTCGGCTCGCTGCAACCTCTGCCTGCTGGGTTCAAGTGATTCTCCTGTCTCAGCCTCCCAGTAGCTGGGACTACAGGCGCCTGCCACCACGCCCAGCTAATTTTTGTGTTTTTAGTAGAGACAGGGTTTCACCATGTTGGCCAGGATGGTCTCAATTTCTTGACCTCATGATCCACCCACCTCAGCCACCCAAAGTGCTGTGATTACAGGCATGAGTCACCGCACCTGACCTGCATTTGCTTTTGAACATCCATGTGTTGTTATCATTCAGCCACAGGCTAAGGTAAAGGTTCCTTTGTTCCAAGTTTGGTTTCCGCATGAGAACATCTTGAGGTTTTGTCCTCTAACGCAGAGGCCAGCATCTTATGCAGTTCCCCCTTAAAGCCCTAGCTCAGATGAAAGCATCATTAACATCTGCTTCTGAGCAACTCCTCAAATTTAAGCCATTATTTTGGGGCCTTTTCCCTCCTAAAACATTAGGAGGTTCTCTATTTTCTATAAGAAATGTTGCCTTCCAAGAAGAGATTCATATGTTAATCATATTCTGATTTTATATTCACTTATATTCATTTAATAATTTAATTAGAAAACATGGAGTCTATGATCAGATTGATATATACAGCCCTTGTTTGGAGTTTTGGAGGTTGTAAGGTCAGGTTTACTTTCCCTTAAGTTCCTCTTTGAAATTGAAGTGTAATACGCATATAGAAAATTATATGTAAGTGTATAACTTGATGAGTTTTCTTACAGTAAACATGTATAACAGCTATCAGGTCAAAACATGGAACAGTGAGCACCTCAGAAGAGTCTCTTATGCATTTTACTGACTTGCTCCTTTCAAAAGTTAACCACTCTTCAATTTTAAACACATGGAAACATTTTGCCCATTTTTGAAATTTAATTGAAAGAAATAGTAGGTATACTTTGTCTCATTTATTTCACTCAAATATCTTTCAACAACTTCATGTTGTGTACTGTGTGTAGCTATCATTTGGTCGTTTTCATTGCTTTGTAATATCCCATGAGAATATATCAGTCACTTCCAGTTTGGGCTATCACAAATAAAACTGCTATGAACAGTCTCATATATACCTATTTTTTGCAAACTGGGAAATGTATTTCTGTAACTTATATGTCTACAATAGAACTGCTAGGTGGTAAGAAATGTGCATTTTCACATTTAGTAGATTATGCCCAACCCTTTAGTTGTCTGAATTATGTATTTCCACAAGTTAGTTGTGAGACTTCCAGTTGATCCATGTCCTCATCAACATGTGGCATTAGTAGTCTATTTCAGTCATTTTGGTAATTTTATATCAGTATATCTCATTGCAGTTCTATTTAAATTTCCCCAGTTACTGCTGAGGTTAAACATTTCTTAAATATGATTCTTGAATTTGTGAACACCTTTTGTGTTCCTGTTCAATTTTAGTTTCTCATTCTATAAAACCTGAAATTTAAAAAAATAAGAAAAATAGAAGACTGGGATACTCCATATTGCAAATGTGTCAATTATTCTCTATAGATTTAACTCAATGTTAATCGCAACTTTGAATGCACATGGAAATTGAAAAGATTACAAAACGAATACAATAGAAAGGGCCAATAACCAATAAAATCTTGAACAAAGGGGGAAACCTAGTTCGCCAGATACTAGGCTGCATTATAGAACTACATTACTCCCCACATGACATGGTATTTGTGTGTGTAGAGAGAAATAGAACAATGGAGATGAATTGAAGTGCAAAAATAGACCCACATATGTATTGACAAACTTTTATGACATACTACTGTGAAGCAATGGGGAAGCAGCACTATTTTTAATAAATGGTGCTGTGTCAATTAGATTTCAAATAAAATACAGTCTTAACCCATTCCTCATACCACATGCAATAATCAATTTCAGGTAAAACAGATCCAAAATCAAATGGTAAAATAATGATTCTATAGATAATAACCTCGTGTAGCATCGTAATAGTTTTGTGTAGGCCAGTATTTCCTCAGCAGGACGTAAAAATATAAAGTAAAAGTTTTAAAGAATAAACTATACCCAAGTGAAGAACTTGTTTTTATTAAAATTTACCATTGAAGTGAGTAATAAGGTAATCCAGAGAAGGAAAATACATTTGTAACTCAAAACAAAGGGTTCATATCCAGAATATAGCAATAACTCAATTTTGATGAAGTCCAAGTTCACTTTTCTCTTTTTGAAACATGCTTTGGATTCAGGTATCATAACTATTTGCCTATCCCAAAGTCATATAAATTTCCTTCTATGGTTATCTGTTTTATTGCCAGGATTTTTCTGGTTCCCTTGGAGTAGGCAGATAGCCAGCAATCAGTAGGCAAGGGAGTCCCCTAAGAAAAGTCCTGGAGATGCTGTTTCACTGAGTCAGTGCTGCTGGCTGACAGTCAGCAAAACAGACAATGACTGCACTGGCCACGCTGATTATGTCTGGCGTTGTGGCTGGGCTCCTCTAGTCCCAAAGGGGACTTATCAGGCCCTTGCCAGAGATAACCACACTAGGGATTTTCCCCACTGACAAACATGCACACACTCCTCCGAAAACTTGCTGTATTCTTTTGCTCACTGTAATAGCGTTTCACACACACACACACACACCCCCTGGGTGGTGATTTTAGATGCCAATGGGATATGGTATGTGTACTAGCATATACAACCGGAGCATGTGTGCCCCAAAAACCTCCCAAAACATACTTGCAAGTAACACCCACAATACACCCTTTCATGATTTATCATCATAAGAGTCTCAAAGTTCCCCAGCACTAGCTGCTGCTGGCTCCTTGTTCTTTGTGTTCACACACATTCAGTGTTGAGCTCCCCCTTATTGAGAATATGTGGTATTTGGTTTTCTGTTTGTGTTCATTTACTTAGGATAATGACCTCCAGCTTCATCCCTGTTGCTGCAAAGGACATGATCTAATTCTTTTCTGTGGCTGCATAGTATTATATTCCATGCTGTATATGTACTGCCCTTTTGGGGTTTTTTTTGTTTGTTTTGGAGACAGAGTCTTGCTCTGCCTCCCAGGCTAGAGTACGGTGGCATAATCTCCTCACTGCAACCTCCAGGTTCAAGCAATTCTCCTACATCAGCCTCCCGAGTAGCTGGAATTACAGACATGCACCAGCATACTCAGCTAATTTTTGTATATTTAGTAGAGACAGGGTTTCACCATGGCGGCCAGGCTGGTCTTGAACTCCTGACCTCTGGTGATCCACCGACCTCGGCCTCCCACAGTGCTGGGATTACAGGCATGAGCCACCATGCCCAGTCTGTACCGCATTTTCTTTATCCAGGGTTGACTTTTATACGAGATCCAAAAGTTTGTTTCTTTAAATGACATTTGCTTGGTGGGGACAGTCCAACTACATCAAACAAATTAAATCTAATAATTCTATGTTCTGCTCTTTTCTTTGGTGTTACATTTTGAAATGGAATATGATATTTTGATATTTCAAGGACATTTTCTTTGTGTAACTTTAATATTTTTAACAATTTTCATAACATAGATGACACCGATATTTCCAAAGGGTCTATCGGACTAACAACAAGAAAATCAGTTCATAGATTATTCTGGCTATAAAGTGAAAAATCTACAGCTAATTTCTTCATAAAGACAAACATCTCTGTAAAATAACTTTCATAGGTTAAAGGTGACAATGACCCTGAATTCATAAAAATCCGCCAATTAATTGCTGCACAGTTTGTTTCCATATCTTGTGTAATGTCATCTCCCTGCCAGATAAGTTGAGCAATATTTGGGGGAGTATATTGTTATTAATCTATCCCAGCTTATGGTTATTTTAAGAGTAAGTGATCAACATACTCAACGTACTTGAGTTTATCTTTGAAAGAGAAGGGTAATGTAATCAGGGATCTACTAAGTGCCTGGTGAATGTATTGGTTGATTAGACAGATTTTAGGATGTTAATAAGGGGGACTCTGCCTCCAATGCCATGACACAGGCGAAGAACCACCAAGTGGTTCAGAGGAGATTAGAACTCTGACCTGCCTACTTGGTTTAGCTGTGATTACTTCTAATACAACACACATATTTTAATCCAGTTAAATATAAACCAAAAATAGAAAACAAATCTGTCATTCTTACCCCAAGTAAAAAAATTGATGTTTCTGTATAATTTATATGCTTGGAGACAACATTTAATAAGTGTTGGCTTGATTTAAACAAACGTCATTATCAGGTTTGACCACACTTAGTGTATCAATATTTGGTATAGTAAAATCCATGTGTTACACCGAGCACTGCTATAAGAAACTGAGTTCACTGGGCATGGTGGCTCATGCCTGTAATCCCAACACTTTGGGAGGCTGAGGCAGGTGGATCACCTGAGGTCAGGCTTCGAGACCAGCTTTGGCCAACATAGTGAAACTCTGTCTCTAATAAAAATACAAAACATTAGCTGGCCGTGGTGGCATGTGCCTGTAATCCCAGCTACTCAGGAGGCTGAGACAGGAAGACAGGAGAATAGCTTAAACCCGGAAGGCGGAGATTGCAGTGAGCCGAGATCGCACCACTGCACTCCAGCCTGGGGAGACTCCATCTCAAAAAAAAAAAAAAAAAAAAAAAAAAAAAGAAACCGAGTTCACTGCAGGACTTTGTCCAAACACAGCTGAAGTAAAATCTGAAAACAGAGAGCAGCCTATCAAGCCTGGTCTATGCCTTTCCCTTCCCTCTGTGGCAGCATGCATTTGCTTCCTCAATTATATTAGCCACAATCAGACATACACGAATTACAACACGTGCTCTCAAATAAGAACCGGTCTGATTTACAAGAGAATTCGAGATACTTCCCCTGCATGTGGGGCCAAAGCCCTCACACAAACATGAGGCATGCTGTCTCACAGCATCCAGACCTTGTCCAGGGCACTACTTACATTATTGTTCTGCAAAACCCGCAGTGCCTTGTTGACATTGTTCAGGGCATGAACTCTTGTGGATCCTTTTTCTTTTGGCTGCGAACAAGACAAAACAGTGTTCACTGACCAGCAGAGAGACCGACAATCTACTAGAAATGAAACCATTTATGAATTTCACTATTAAGTTTGAATATTGTAAATGAACACAGCCTGTGAGGCATTAATATCATGAATCTAAATACTTTGGGCTAACCGTCCTTGGCCTGGTATATTTTTAGCATAAACCAACCACTCTAAGAATGACAACACTTTTTCTTTACAAAGGCTATTTTGGTATGATTGTTCCTTCATTCTACAGCTCAGTTGGGGATTACTGCATGACCACCAATGAGAGAAACATCAGCATGAATAAAAACATCTTCTAGTAAGATGGAAATACAAGTTAATTCCCAAACTTTTCAGGAAAATTTAAAGAAGATTTGACTCTAGCAAAATTATATAACGCCAAATAGGGTTAAATAAACCTTTTCTGCAAAGATTACCTTAATTGTCCTTGTCATTGAAGCTCTAAACCTCAATCATCTTTGGTTCCCTAATTTTATTCTCAAGCCCAAGAGTTGTATCTTATCCTGTAATTTTTAAACCAACATCTGCATAGTTCATTGCAATATACAAATTAACTCATTTATTAAGTTGTAGAGTTTTAGAAGTTCTACCATTAATGATACCTGTTGTATTTACTTTTTATTTTCATTTCTTTCACCTTACTACCAAGCCCTTATTAGCTATTGCCCAGAAAAATATAACCTCATTCCCTTCTCTTCTCACTCACCATTTGTTTCATCCTTCCTGCATATCGTCAACAATGATGTTCCTGAAGTAAGCCCACTGCCAATGCTAACCACTTGCAAAGTTCTCATCTAAACATTTGGGTGATTATAGTTAACAGTTAAGGGCAAGAGCTACAAAGCTGGCTGACTGGGTTCAATTTTCAGCTCTGCCATTTTTGTGCTGTGTGACCTATGTAAAAAAACTTAATCTCCCTGTATACCAGTTTTCTCATCTGTTAAGAATGGACTTAATAAAAATATTAGCAAGAGGCATACACAAATTACAACATGTGCTCTCAATAAGAACTGCTCTGATTCACAAGAGAATTTGAGATACTTTCTTCTCTGCATTTGGGGCCAAAGCCCTCACTCAAACATGAAGCATGCTGTCTCACAGCATCCAGACCTTGTCCAGGGCACTAGTTATTGTTCATATTGCTCAAACCATTGTACATATGGTTTCTGGGAGGATTTAGTGTGTTAATATGCATAAGGCACTTAGATTGGTACTTGTCACACATATTTGGTACAACAAATATTATTGATTTTGTAGTATGTGCCAAGTACTTTGAATGCACTACCTTTAATCCCCGTCTTGCAAGGCAGTTAGTTTCATCCCCATTGTACAAAAGTGAACCTCAGGTTAAAAGATCCAATATATAGATTACCATATAACTAATCATTGATGGAGCCAGGACCCAAACTTTTGTCTGTCTGTAGAGCCCAAGTCTTGCAAATTTATTTCCTTCTTCTCTACCTACTTTGTGTATGTAACCAAACAAATAATCTATATTTCTATTTCTTGCATTTAACTCCTATACTTTCCAACAATACTCCTGGGTCTTTCTCAAGTAGTTCCTTACCCTACAACTCCTTATCATTTGCACTGCCTGCTGAGCAACCCAAATTAAGCTAAAGCCATCTTCCTCTCCAAGGTGACTTGCCTGATATCCTTTATAACACAGTATTGATATCTCAATTCCTTTGATTTCACAAAACATTAAGGCTAACCTTATGAACCAGAATCTCCATTTTTACCTCTTAGATTTTCCTCCAAGAATGTTAGAATGATATTGGTTTATATTCTGATATTTTTCCCACTTTCCACCAAAAAGAGGAAGAAAAATAAGGCCATAGAAAGACTTTAGATTTTAAAAAAAAAAAGCAACAGCCGGACATGGTGGTTCATACCTGTAATCCCAGCATTTTGGGAGACTGAGGCAGGTGGGTCACTTGAGGTCAGGAGTTCGAGACCAGCCTGGCCAACATGGTAAAACCCCATCTCTGCTAAAAATACAAAACTTAGCCAGGCATGGTAGAACGTGCTGTAGTGGCCGAGGCAGGAGAATTGCTTGAACCCAGGAGGCAGAGGTTGCAGTGAGCCAAGATCATGTCACTGACTCCAGCCTGGGCGACAGAATAAGATTCCATCCAAAAAAAACAAGTGTGAAAGAGAAGCAGCAAATAACCAATCTTCTTAATGTATATACAGATAGCACACAAGTTTAATGGTAATTATAGGACTTAAAGTTTTGAAAATAATTACTCAGATCCATCTTCTGCCCAGTAGACAAAAGCCATATATTTCCTTTTAATCAGTTACATAATTATAGTCATAAGATTTAGCAACATTCTCCTTTGTATATCATACTCAAACATTAAATGTACACATGTGCATATGTATTAGAACCAAAGATAGTCTCTTTTAAAAAGCTGCAGTTTCTGATCCTGAAGTGGAAACTTAAAATCTGCCCCTATTAGAGTCTCCTTGAGGAGTATTTCTTATGACTGTAAGGCAAGTACCTTCCTTTTAACCCTGGGGATGCTCTGAGCCAATAATCCAAATGCAGATGCTTCTGAGTAGAATACTAAAATTTCTGTCCAATAGTATACATGACTCCCATTAGGAGTAGAATATGTATCTCTCTAGAAATGTAGAATTCAAGACAAGGTATAGAGAATTGGAGTCGTGGGATTGGTAGCATTCGTTAGAGAGGCGATTCTGCTTTATGGGAAAGGCAAGATCCTCAGACCATGGCTGACAGATCTGTGATTAGGACAAACAACGGTGTACAAATTCTGTTAGTAGCAGTATCTGAAATTATGTAATCTATACTAGCATGTGTAAATGTTTGGTGATTTTTCCCTACCACTAGCTTACCTTATACTGGCCAATCTCATGGATATTTTGTTTGATACTTTTTTCTTTAGTGCTATTACTAATTAGGTTCATTTTATATTAGCGTCTATGTATGTATGTGCATAAATGAAAATCATGTAAATTTTTTAATTTTGCCAAATTATTTTTTCTTCATATCAGATGGGTAGTGTGCCAACATCCTAAGTTTAGAGGAAGGCATATCTCAAATCTGAGTATAAGCACCCAAATCATGCTTATGAATTACAAAAGGATCTGAAATTATCTTAAACATTATGTCTGTACGAAATGTGTTAACTCTGACAAAATTTCTTTGGGTGATACACGGGTTGACTCAGTCAGGAAAATGACCAGGAAGGATTGTAGCACAGGAGAAGTGATTATGCAGATATACTTGGAAGTGAAGAAACAGACTCATACAGAGGGCCAGGACAGGCTGAGTAAGCCATAATCTTTGAAAGATTTTTCATGAACATTTGGAAGACACTGGAACTTCTAGTATTTGGTAACTGAAAGTAGGACTGACTCCAGAATTCAGGAGAAACGATATACACAGAGACACACTGATTTCTATAAATATATTACATGTCAATATATTTAAATTGTTCACATAGGAGATGAATTATACACAAATGTATCTCTAGTGAAATTAAGACTAAGTTTACACGATGACCTCAAATTGGCTCAAAGCAAGCAGTTCAGCTATAAGGCAATAAATCTGATTTTTCCCCTTGACTGAAGTTATTATTTCAATATGTCATCAAGTTGTTCTTATATTAGTACAAGTTCAGACTTCTTGAAAATATATCAGTTTTAGTATTAATCTCACATACTTGAAGATAATAAATGAAAGCATAAGGGATGTCTCTTCTCTATAGGACTTCAGGATCTAATTGAGGAGGGATGTCAGTCATATACTAAAAACAAGACAAAATGGGCATTCTGTGGAATTTGAGAGGGAAAAAAAAATCAGCAAAAGTAATGTGGGAAAAGCTTTAAGGAGAAATCAAGGTTTCTGGGAGACTGTTTGGGTAGACAGAAGTACAGAAAGAAATAGAGGCAAGCAAAACAATATAGGCAAAAACCCAGAGATACCTAACAGTATATACTGAGAAAAAAGTGGCTTAGCCTAAGAGTTATAGGAAAGCAGGTTGGGGGAGATAGCATTTTTGCTAATTGACTTTTAACGACAGCTTCAGTTTGTATAATATAACAAAATCTGTGTGTGTCTGTGCGTGTCTGTGCATGGGATGGGGAGTTGTAATGAAGGGCAAAGATAAGAGATGAAGGCAATTTAGCAGAATTTGATAGGTAGAACAGTTATTTATGACTGTAGACTGGGGGCTTAAACTCTACTTTTTAGAATAGCAATCTAAGATTATTTCAGGGGATTTCAATTTGAGTTCTTCTCCCCGCGCCCCCCTCCCCCCGCCCCCAGTTAAGATCTTGATCAGCATGAATTAATTGATCTGTAACTGTGTATATCAAATCATGTATCTTCACAGGAATTCTCTGAAGTTAGACAAGATAACAGTTCAGGAGGAAGTGATATTCTCATCACATATGCTGTCACGTATTACACTATAATGCCTGTACTTTATTATGCTATCCCCACATTTATAAATACAGGTTCATTGTAAAATAACTTCAAAATACACAAAAGTACAAAGATAATTTTTCAAGTTATTATGCATAAAAGCCTTAAGATATTTGATAAGATAGATACCAAGTAGTAAAATTGAATAATATCTATTAATATAAATTGTATTACTGAAATTTTTACATTTTTCTGCAGGTGGTAGACTATGCCAAATGAAAATCCTACGAGGTTGCTTTACTAAAAGGATAGGTATTGCTAGTTCAATCAGCACTTAGTAAGTTAATTTTACTAGATCTCATATAACTGTGTTTTCAGTTTCTGGTCTGAAATTCTACTAAGTTTAAAGTTAACTTTCTTAAAAATAAGTCACATACCAGTTTTTGCCCTGTCAGGCCTTCGAGGAGGTCTAGGAGGCGTCTCCCATCCTGTAGGTCACTGAAGAGGTTCTCTATATGCTGCTTCCCAAACTGAAATTAAAAAATATATATATACTCAATGTAACAAAGCACACTTCCAATGATATTTTCACGATTCTGCCTTTTGAAAACTAAAGTTATATTTAAGAATAATTAGTGTGTATAATTATCTACCAAAGATGGATGAAAAAAGGAAAGTTCAAATGACAAAAAAAAATTTAAAAATTTGATCATAGATCAAGTCTATTTGAATTATTTTGAATAGCAAGATAGAAGATTTATAGCCTAAGTGATCTAATTAATTCACTTAAATGAATATAGATTCTGTGAAGGAGAGAAAAAAATATGAATGATCAGGCAGTTAGTGGTAAAGGGAAAAGTAAATACGCAAAGCAGCAAAGACCACACAAATCTACCTGGGTGGGTACATAAAGTTTAACCATTCTTGGAATATAGTCAGAGTATTCAACATCCTCATCACTCAGAACATGCTTGCTGCGCATACACTTTTGGCATGCTGATTCAGAATGACCTATGCTCCTACTGGATAACTCAAATTTTAGGAATATCAGGTTTAATTAGGTTTGAAACAAGCCTGTGAGAGCTTTTCATTGATTTTACTAAGTTCTTTGGCTCAGGAATTATACTAAGGAAAAATTGTCAATAAATAATGTTTAACTTTTTTGAAGTAAATACTCATGAGAGAGACTGTTGAGTGGATTTCACAACCGTTGTGGCATTTCTGAGATTAGCAGTAACATACTCATCTTACATGAGACACTTAGAGGTTAAGTATGTGGCTGTTTATCATGAAACTAGAATGGGGTAAAGCCAAAATTGTGTCTCAGATCTAATTCTGGGTTCTTGTTCTTTCAAATCTTATGTTGCCTTGTCCTTTTTATAATCTACTATTTGATTATCTTTCAAACATTTGTCTTTATCATATTTCACCAAATCGTTTTCTGGTTAAAACCCTACAATCCCCATGAGGTAATTCCCAGCTTTTTCATCATCTAAGTTATCTAGAAATCCCTTATTTAATCAGTCACAGACATATTGAGCATGAATAAACCTGAGCTAGGTACTGAATCATATGCTAAGTACATCAGACACAGGCCCAGACCCTATAGAACTTAGAGTCCAGCAGAGAAAATATTCCTAAAAGGTACTATTACATAGAAGCATTAAAAAGGACTAAAAAACATGAACAGTGGGAACACTCAAGCCTTGGGATCAAGAAATACTTTCCAAAAAATGTCAGGTGATGGGTCTAACATTAGCCTTTGGGTGACTGCTCTTTTCATGTACTTCTTGGATCACACATAAACTTTGAATTTCACACAAGTGAAGAAAATCCGTGGTTTCCAGGCAAAAGACATCCCTGAAACTTCTGAAACTTCCACGATTAAAGACATAGGATCATAGACTATTCCTACAACTAGGTAGCCATTTCAATGACAAGACTTGTCAATGCCTGGGTACTTCACACAGACAATGATCCCTGCAGTCAGTCAACCAGTCCCTGTGTACTCAGCTTTGTGAATCCAGCCACATATATACTTAGACAAAAATCAACTATGAGTTATTCTTTTGAAATACCCAAGTAGATCCATTTTAAAATTCCATGGGAAAAAGAACACAAAACTCTAACATGCTAGAATTTTTAAAAATTAGCTTTACTAGGAGGAAGGAAGAACAAGACGGTCCAACAGAACCTTCCAGCAATCATCTTTCCCGCTACCGCTGCTACAGAAACACCAAATTGAACAGATATCCACACAAGCACGCACCTACAGAAGAACCAAAAAATCAAGTGAGCAAATCACAGTACTTGATTTTAACATCTTATCAAGGAAAGAGGCACTGAAGATGGTAGGAAAGACAGTTACAAATTTCCAATACCACCCTTCCCCCATCCCCTGGCAGAGACCATGTCACATGTAGACCATCTGTGTGCTTGCAGGAGGGAGGACGCAGGATTGTGGGACGTAGCACTGGAACCCAGTGCTGCCCTGTCACAGTGGGAAGCAACACAGGGCAGAGTTCATTAAGTGCCCGTGGAGGAAACATTTCAGACCAGCCCTATCCAGGGAGCTTATCACCCATCTCAGCAGTTAGAACCTGAGTTCCAGCTAGTCTCACCGCTGTGAGCTCAAGCACTTTGGGATCCTAAATAAACTTCAAAGGGAGTCCCGGTTACAAAAACTGCAATTCCTGGGCAAGTCTTGGTGCTGCGCCAGACTCAAAGTCAGGGGACTTGGTGAGCACACAACCTAGTAAGACACCAGTGCTTATACCACCCCATCCTCTAAACCCCTGGCAGTGCAGCTGACAACTTTGAGAGAGACTGCTTCCTTCCACTTGAGAGGATAGGGACAGTAAAGAGGACATTGTCTTGTAACTTAGACACAAGCTCAAACACAGTAGAATGAGGCATCAGGCAGAGTCCTGAGACACCCCCCCCCGCCCCCTCATTCCAGGCCTGGGCTCCTGAGTGACATTCTTAAATACACCCTGGGCCAGAAGGGAACTTGCTACCTTCAAGGGAAGAATCCAGTCCTGATAGAATTCATCACCTGCTGACTAAAGGGGTCCTTGGGTCTGGAATAAGCAGCAGCAGTAGCCAGGCAGTATTCACCAAGTCTTGGGTAAGACTCAGAGCCAAGCTATCTTTGGGTGTGGCCCAGGACATTCCCAAGTGTGGTTGCCGTGGGGATATACTCCTTGTGCTTTTGGAAAGGAGAGGCAATAGAGTGCACTTTGTCTTGCAGGTTGGGTACTAGCTCAACCACAATCAGGCAGATCATCAAGCAAGCTCCTGGGGTCTCCGATTGCAGGCCTTGGCTCCTGGATGGCATATCTGGACTCACCTGGGGCCTGAGGAGAACCCACTGCACTGAAGGAAGAGACTCGGGCCTGACAGCATTTACTACTAGTTAACTAAAAAGCTCTTGGACCTTGAGTGATTCCTCTGCTTATGAAAAGGGACAGGAAGAATGGGACAAACTTTGTATTGTGGCTTGGGTGCCAGCTCTGCCACAGTAGAATAGAGCACCAAATACATTCATAAAGATACAACTTCAGGACTTGGCGCCTAGATGGCATTCCTGGACCTGCCCTGAGCCTCAAGGGCACTCACTGCTCTGAAGGGAAGGACACAAGCCTTGCTGGATTTGCCACCTGCTGTCTTAAAAGTTCTTGGACACTGACTAAACACCATCATTAGGCAGTGGTTGCCTTGGGTGAGACCCAGTGCCATGATGGCTTCAGGTTTGACACAGCACAGAAGCAATGGTGGTGGTAACAGGAATGCTTATGTCATCCCTTCCCCCAGCTCCAAGCAGCTCAGCATGGAGACAGACTCCTGTGGAGGTGCGGAAGGTGGGGGAGAGTAAGGGAAGAGAACAAGAGTAATCTAGAAAATTCTCTTGGATCTTAGAGGTCCCACCTTGGTGGTCTTGGGTATTAGTCTACAAGAATTAAAACATTACTTGGCTTGGGGTGCCCCCTAATACAGATATGGCTGTAGTACCAAAAGACTTATATTCAACACTCAATTCTCTTTCGATATTTGGAAAGCCTTCACAAGAAGGATGGGTTCAAACGAGCAGATTGTGAATACTATAGTAAATATACAACTCTTTATACACAGACTTGCCCATACACAGACAAACATCCACAAGTATCAAGACCATCCAGGAAAACATGATCTCACCAAGAGAACTAAAAAAAAAAAGGCACCAGTGACCAATTCTGGAGTGACAGATACATGACCTTCACAGACAATTCAAAATAGCTGTTTTGAGGAAGCTCAACAAAATCCAAGGTAACACGAGAAATTCAGAATCCTATCATATAAATTTAATGAAGAGATTTAAATAATTTTTTGAAAATCAAGCAGAAATTCTGGCACTGAAAAAATCGACATTGAAGAATGCATCAGAGTCTGAACAGCAGAATTAATCCAGCAGAAGAAAGGTTTAGTGAGCTTGAAGACAGGCTAATTGAAACTACAGGAGGAGACAAAGAAAAAAATCAAGAAAGCAAGCATACCCACAAAATCTAGAAAGTAGCTTATAAAGGACAAATCTAAGTGTTATAGGTCTTAGATAGGAGGGAGAGAGATCAGGGTAGAAAGTTCATTCAAAGAGATAATAGAACTTTCCAAAGCTAAGACAAGGTATCAATATTCAAAATACAAGAGGTTGTAGAACACTCAAAGACAACTACATCAAGACATTTAATAATCAAACTCTCAAAAGTAAAGGATCAAGAAAGGATCCTAAAAGCAGCAAAAGAAAAGATACATTCCAAAAAGCTTCATAACTAGTAATAGACTTCTCAGCAGAAAACTTACAGGCCAAGAGTGTGCCATGCCTTATTTAAAGTGCTGAAGGAAAATGCCCTTTATCCTAGGATAGTACATCCAGTGAAAATATCCTTCCAACAAGATGAAAGGCCTTCCAAGACAGAAGCTGTAGGATTTCATCAACACCAGACCTGTTCTACAAGAAATGCTAAAGAGAATTTATCAACTGGAAAGAAGAGGACCTTAACTAGCCAGAAAACCAACTGAAGACATAAAACTAAGTACAGACCAACATAAAACTATTATAATACTGTAATTGTGGTGTATGAACTACTCGCATCTTGAATAAAAAGACAAAAAAAGAGACCTTTCGTTCCTAAGCAAAAATAACCATAATAACTTTAAGACATCAACAGTATAATGAGATATAAACAGAAACAACGAAAAGATTAAAAGAGATGAAGTATAGAGTTTTTAATTAGTTTTCTCTTTGCTTTCTTGTTTATGCAACCAAGGTTGTCTGTTTGAAATAACGGGTTATAGTGTTTGTAAACCTCGTGGTAGCCTCAAAGTAGATAGATACACAAAATGTAAAAAGCAAGAAATAAAAACATGCCACTAAAGAAAATTTCTTCACTTAAAAGGAAGACAAGATGGAAGGGAAAACCACAAAACAACCAGAAAATAACAAAATAGTAGGAGGAGTAAGTTCTTATCAATAAAACAATGTAAATGAAATAAA